CTGTACAGATTACTCTTTCTTGGCAGTGCTGTACAGATTACTCTTTCTTGGCAGTGCTGTACAGATTACTCTTTCTTGGGAGTGCTCTACAGATTACTCTATCTGAACAAATACTGAAATCTAAAATTTGATTATTAAAGTCTGTTGGAGCTTTATGAATGTTAATGGCTTTCCCATTGTAATTCTGAGGAAGAAGTATTCCTCAAGGTTTACTAATTTGTTAAAGATCATTTTTTTAGAGTGTATAATTACAAACTGGTTTATTATATATATCTTTTAAGATGAATATTCTCCTACTGATTATAAATCTGTTTTTTGAATGAGCAGAATAAATTAAATTATAATAAATGTTAATTTACTCATAACTTCTAACTAATTAAATCTAATTAATTAAATAACTAGTCTGAATTCATGAAAATTGCTTTTATTTATTTACTTTGTTAATTATTCTATACCACTAATATGTAAACAAAAATACTAGCTGTGACTCTGATTCTTGCAAATATTTGGCAACTCTAGAAGCTGCTGCAGGCTCTTCTGCAAAAATTAGATTTCTGTTTCCTTTTCTTCATTTGTAAAGAATTCTTTCAGAGGATTAAAAAAATAAGTGAATTTTTTAAATATCTCATTAGGTAAACGGAAAAACAATCCTGCAGTTACTTATGATAATTCTTCTTTAGGAGGTTATAAAAAAATATTGCTTAAATGCAGTATCCATTGATGCATGTAAATAAATAATTACCTAAATCATTTCATATGGATTAAATTACATTTACTTTTTAATATTCCTTTTATTGAAAATTTTTATTTTGTATAGTAAAAATTTAATTTTAAGTTTCATAGATATGTCATAAGTGATGTCATATGTGTACACAGAGTAAGGCAACATGGATGCTGGCATTTCAAAGCCTTATTGACAAAATGCTAGTAATATATTTTCAAAAGATATGCACACTGTGCAAAAAAAAAAAAAAAAAAAAAAAAAAGGCAGTTCTATATCTGCCTTTCTTCTGGGCCAATTGATGAAATTCAAATTGGGTTTTGCATGTCTCAAAAGCACGACTTGAGATATATATTAGATTTATATATGAGCATTGTTCTAGGTATTTTGATACAAAATGGGACTTTTTCTGAAATAACATATCAGTTGTTTCCCATGTTTCGATTCTACAACTCAAATTATGCCTAAATATTAAATTTTGTAAAATCTGGTGCGAAATTTACGGAGAACTTTAAAAATTTAACTTGCAATATTTTTTTCAGTTTGCACCAAGAATAATTCACTTCGCAAACTTCTTAATATATTGCAACATATTTTCCTTTCCCTTCCATTGTACAGGAGTGGGAAAAAAGTAACTGCATTTCTAGCTTTTTACATTGTGCATGAGCAGGGAAAAAAGTCACATCGTTTCTACTTTCAAATAATTTTAACAAAGTGCCTAAACCACATCTGATGTTTTTATCGCTTTCAACAAATGTGCCAAATTTCAAAACACACCAATATAAAAGTTCACATGTATCTTTGTAAATTTTGAATAAAAACTGCAATTTTTTACAGGTATGCTTTGAAATACATCTACTTTACGATGATGGCAAAACCTTTTTAGGTTATAATACAAATTTCTAAAATAAATTATAAAAAATAGACGAATTTTATTTGGAGTGAACCTAAATTTCAAAATATCAAAGGAAGAATCAAATAAGTTTAATAAAAAAAGTATATCATAAATATACATCAAATTCAATTAACATTGAGAAGCTAAAATTTTGAGAGCTAATTTTTAAAAAACGATTTTTACAAAACTTGGCAATTTGGCTTAATTTGAGTCCTAGAATAGAAACATAGAAAAAAAATTGGTATGTCATTTCAGAAAAAGTCCGATTTTGTGCTTAGTAGAATGTGAGATATAGAACTGTTCCTCTCTTTTTTTTTTTTTTTTCACACCTCCAAATGTTCAATGTAAGCTCCTTTTGCTACATGGCTTACATAAAGTCTGTAGTGCAATTCTTGCTAAACCTTGCGTAGCATGTCTGTACCGATGCTGGCATTAGCAGCTTGGATACAGATAGATATTCAAATCTATCTGTATATGGGCATTGGACCTGGATACATGTGATCCTTTATGACCCCCCACCAAAAAACATGATATGGGGTAAGACCCAAGGATTATGATGAGCAAGGTAACAATGTTTTGTCTAGAGCAGATATGTGATCAGTCTACCATTGTGGTAATATGTTATTGAGGTGCTCCAGCACTTTATTCAGAAAATATAGTGATGCACCATCCTGTTGCAGAATAAAGCTAGGTAGGTCGTCTTATAATTGTATCAGACGAGTCTGTTGAGATGCACAATTTCTGTGACAGTGCTTTAGGTAAAAAAGAATGGTCTGTAGATCTTTTCAGAGGATATTGTGCAAAATGCATTAACCTTCGGAGAGTTCGTGTTCATGTTGCACTGTCACATGTGAATGTTCAGAAACCCCTAATATTTACGTTAAGCTTATTCACTAATCTGGAAATGTGAAAACTTGATTCATAACTGAACACTTAACTTTTCAGAAAATTCATCATCCTTCACTGATGTTAAAAGTGTATCGCAGAAAGATAATTGATGTGCTAGGTCTTTTCATTTCAGTTGTTGCATAAACTGCAAATGATATGCTTTTATGTGCAAACACTTCCTAAGAACTCTCCTCAAAGTTTTCTGCAGTGCACCCAGTTCTTGTCCAGATCGATATGTAGATTATAGGCCATCTGCTATAGATATCTTGAATACCCTGAACTATGTGTTCTCCGACTGCAGGAAGACATGTTGAATTTCCTTTGACAATGCAGCTTCTCTCTTGAAATTGTGAATACCAGTAACAAATCACCTTATCATCTAGTGCTGCCTGTCCATATTTCATTAAGAAATGGTACTGAACAGTGATAATAAGACTGCTTAACATCATCCTCAAGATGCAAAACTCTTTCTACTGTTGCCTCACCATGTTATGAAGGCTGAATGCATCCTTATCCTTTGCTTTTGCATAAACTTATTATTCCACATACTTGCAGCGATTACGTTTGTGGTGCCATATATCGGTAAAATATAAAATTATAAAGGACTATTCATAACTTATCTATGTTACCTTCTACAGCATGCAGCTTTTGAAAAAATATCAGATTTTAACAAAAGTTTCCAGCCACCGCAAATATCTTCTGTGCAAACAGTTTGTGCTGGAATGTTTAATCATATTTTGTCAAACAATTTTTGGCATTAGAAGATAAAGACGCTTTAGAACACTGTATTGTGAAATTTATTTTTAAAAAAATATTGTTTTCATTAAGTCCAAGGTGTCTGAAATGGAACTATCACACTATCAGGTTTTAACCATCCTTTATTTCCAGTTTTGTTGCAAAAACTTAGCTACAGATTACAGATTGTCATCAAATCATGTGTACAGCTTTAGGTAATAATATGATGCATTATTAACTAAAGCTTGTATTAGGTAATAATGTATCATATTATTGTAGTGAAGGTTTGGTACCAAAAGTTCAAAAACAAGGACTATGACATTCAAGAAGCAGAGTGCTCTGCCCAGCCTACTGATGTTGATGAGGCTCACCTGCCAGAACTTGTAGAAGACAATCAGTATGCAACCACTTTAAGAGCTTGCTAAGGGTGTTAGGCATCAGTGCCATGTCCATTAGTCGCACTATGCATCACTTCGCGTGCATTAACTTCACATATAAGTTCAATGACCGGGTGCTTCATGAGCTGAACTCAAGCAGATAAGAACAGACTTGTTCGAGCCTGCACTAATCAGCTCAAATATCAATTCCAAGGACAAATTTCTGGACTGGATCATCATTTGTGAAGAAAAGTGGGTTTACTTCAACAACACAGGCCGAAAAAGGGGTTGGTCTGCTCCCAGTGATCCCATCGGCAGTGTTGCAAAGTGCAATTTGACTAACAGAAAGATCATTCTTTGTATCTGGTGGGATTGCCATGGTATTTATCCACATAGAGTGTCTGGAAAAACGTAGAACCTTCGAAAGTAAGGTGTACAGGGATTTGCTAGTCCGTGTTGACACTGCAATTAAAGAAAAACATCGAACTGAGTTCCGGTTCAAAAAGGTAATGTTTCATCAAGATAATGCAAGATCACATGTGTCTGCATTCGCCGGCTGGACTCTATATGGACTTGAATGGGATCATTTTTGTCACACCCGCCATATAGCCCCAGCATTGCTCCTTTGGACTTCTACCTTTTTTCACACTTGCAACTACATCCTGCCAGTACTTTCCATTCTGCGCAGAACATCCAAAATAATGTTGATCTGTTTTTGGACTGCAACCACCAAGTTTCTGGGCTGAAGGCTTTGAAAAACTACCAAAACATTGGCAGAAAATCATAGATTTGGGTGGTGATTACTACCTACACTAAAGGTACTGCTGTCATGCTTTCTTTTCTAACTTTATTAAGAGCCTTTTTTTTTTTTGTTGTTGTTGTTGTTGTTGGAAAACTATTGTTACAACTATTGTTACAACAAACTATTGTTACAATTACATTTTATTAAGTAAAATTTTGAAATCCCAGCATTCATTGTGACTTACCCTGTATTTGAAGATAATGTGTGGCTTTAACAACCTGTTGTACTGAAAAGGAAGTTTTTAGAATATATGAAATTTTCATGTGAATGAACTTGAGTTTTAAAAAAGAGTTTTCACAGCTTCCTATAATTAAAAGGTTTTAGCTAGGAAGATATGTAATTTACTGCATAAAAATATAACTTACACATTGTCAAAAAAGCATCTAATAATTGTAAAGGCATAAAAACATAATGATTATATTATTTTTCAAGTTTCTATGCATCATTATTCCATTTTCACTTGCGAGCCAATTTTTTATTGTTAAAAAAATGAGTTGGTTGTTACCTGTATTGCTGATGTCAAGGTGTTTCTCTTTTTAAATATTTGTATTTTCATTTACCTAATTAGTTTTTCTGTTGTAGAAGCTGTTAAGGACAGTTCATTTCAGGAATTACATGAATGGCTTAAAAATATAGGTGCAGATAATGATACTATTTCGAAGGTTTGTTGTTCTTTTTAATTATATATATTTAATGTAAATTGTGTCAGTCTACATTATAACATTATTATTTTCCACCAGTGTTTTCTGTTAAAATTATTTTAAAAGAATATTTCTGCAGATGGTGTGAATTCAAATCTGATAATTTAATTTTAAAACAAAAAATACTTTATCATTTTATAAACTTTTTTTTGGTTGCATTACAATCATGTTGAATGCAATCTTATCCTGTATCTGCTGTTAGACAATCTGCAGTTTCACTTGTCTATAATTTAAGAGTGGCAGAGAGAAAAAAACTGCATTTCAGTCTCAGAGCTTACAAATTTCTTAATGCAGTTAAGGTAACAGTAGTCGCTAACACAGATTAGAGAAAGTAGTTTAAAAATGTCCACCATTATCTTTCTGTAAATCTTGATTATTTGAAGACAGTGTAAATAAATATGAGAAATGGAAATGCTCATTACAAAATTTTATGTGTATTGTAGGAAACCACTCAAACTCTGAACTTACACCCCAATAGAAAAATAAATGCACTGTTTATCATCAATTAAGGAAAAATCACAAAAATAACAATTAGTCAGTAAGTTACATATAGAATTTAATGAACTGATCCACAGTATACACCGCATAGTAAGGAATAAAATTACATGTAAATAAATTACTGGACAATTATACTGTTATAAAAATTAGCATATGTATAAAATAAACAAATCAGATGTGTCAGTCTGGTATAGAAAAATTACATTCACTATGTCACTATGGAGTGTGATTTCTCCTAGAAGCAGAACACAGCAATGTGTGATGCTGTCAATTATACATACTGTTCTATAGGAAACGAGAGCAACTACTCTCGCAAAGCAGTTGGCAGGGGACTGAAAATGAGGCCTGATTGTAGCTGTACATTTTTGTAAACCATCTCAAACATACTTGATTATAATTCAGATCCAGTGATCAAGTTGGCCACTCCATGAGGTGAATTGTTTGCTGCTGAAGATAATGATCCCTGATGCATATCCCGTGAGCTTTGTCATAAAGTATCGTTTATCTAAAGTAAAATGTAAAATTCTGTTTTGTAAAGTGTAAAATTTATTCATTTAAAGCAAAAAAATGAATGAATTCCTTGTTCCCCCCTCCTTTTCGGCCTCTAAATTCATTTGGAAATTCGGAATAAATTTTATGTCAGTTTGTTAAGAATTATTCAAAAAATGTATAAAAAAACTGGAAAAAGCATCAGGAGTTAAGTGCTAAATTCATTGCTGTAATTATTAGTAAAATTTCATGAGAGAGTAACACATGGAGAAAAGAAATTTGGCTAACTGGAGAAAGCATTCATTCATGCACAGCTCTTAATAAATCATGAGGTGATAGAAAAATGATTTAGAATAAACTGGTAAGTGTGAAACAAAGAGTTAAGTAAATCAAGTAAAATGAAGAGCCTGTTTTGCAAGTTTCAGTGTTTGCATTGGTGTGCCCCACCAATGCCCGTTGCAAAATATAGCCCGTTGCAAACACCACTGCCCGTTGCAAAATAAAGTCTTACCTACCATAAAATTTTTCTTCAATTTCATTTAAGAAGAAAATTTGCTGAAACATATACTCATTTAACACTTTGAGCTGCAACACTTAGAGTTACTGTCCATATGCTTCAATCACTGTGGAATTTTTTTTTTTTTTTTTTTTTTTTTTTTTTTTTTAATGTCTTTTTCGGGGATGCGAGACAGCCACTCTTCCCAAAAAATGGAATTTTGGGAAGAGGGAGATCATGAAGGTAATTTCTGAATCATTAAAAAAAATATTAAGAGCAAATAATTTCAAAGAACAGGTTAACATACTCTAAAGAAGAAACAAATTTCTTGATCTGGTAAGATTGGCCATGCCATTCAGGTATTTGTATAAGAAATTAAGATGAAAAAATTTGTTTGCTTTTTATTAAACAATTAGGTTAGTAAAAAGGTTTTTATAGCTATTTTTTCATTTCAGGTCAGAATTTTCAATATCTCAGATTTTCATTGATGACATAGTATTAGGATCATTTGTTTCAATCTGTTAAGTGTATATTGATTATTTACTCATTTTTAAGATTCTAAACCATAATGAAACATATTCAGTTGAGGTAACAAGTTCTCTTGATAAAATATTAATAGTAGAAAACATTTATATGGTAAAAGAGATGTAAAAGAAAACCTAACCACAAAAAAACATCAGTTTTACTTAAGTTGCATAATTTCACTGGTATGTCAAATTATTTGTTTCATATATACCAAGTTGTAAAATGAAGCTTTGAAAAATATTTTATCTTGAAAATAAATGTTAAAAGTAAATTATTTGCTTTTATTTTTGTAGGAATATTCATTATTTTTTGGATAAAATTGGTAAAATTAACATTGATTTGTTTTTAATTAGTTTGCCATTCAGAAATTCTCAAAAGATGATGTTTTATCATTCATGACAAAGGAAGACCTTCAGACTTTAGGATTAAGGTATGGCTATGTGTATTTTAATGTTTTCTAGATCTGTAGATAATAATATTTGGATAAAATAAAATAATCACTGTGATTATTTAATCTAAATATATTGTTTTAAATCTAATAATTTATCATAAGGGTTGAATTTTTAATGATTAATTCATTAGTGAATGTATGTCTCCTTTCCCCCCTCTTCCAGAAAAAATTTGTTCTTTACTTTCTTCCATATTTCTATGCATTTGGGAATTGTGTTTTTGTTTTGCTTATACTGCTTATGCACTTTTGTGAGTTATTGTGTTTATGTAACTTATCATTTGTAAAGGTTTAACCTTCTGAGTGCCATGATAGTTTTATCTAGTCATGAGATTTTTTTGTCACTTGGTATATATATATATATATTAGCTTATAATTTAAGATATTTTGTTTTTTTCCTTTCTTTAATAACATAAATGTCATCTTAATAAATGTAGGTTTATGAAAATAGAGGCTAAAACAAGTAAATATACAAATTTGCATAATAAAGGCTCTTTAAATACAGGTCTTCATGAAAGATCCAATGTAATCCCCATGCTGAAGAAATAAGGCGGCACATATAAAAACATGCATGGGAACACAAATAAAGGTTAACATTGGTAAATACAACACACAAATAAATGTTAAATAACATTTTTAACAAAAGGATGTAGTGAATTAAAAAAAAAAAAAAAAAAAATGTATGGAAACCCTTAGCACTCTATTGGGAATTCTGAAGATATAGTATTTTAAATATTTTATGATTTAACTGGTGAATTTAAGTAGTGTATGAAAAAAGTGGTGTTTAAAAAATGAAATTTAAATTCAAAGAATATAATGTCATCTCAGTATGATAACTGAATATTAATATGATGCATTGACAAAAGACAAAAGACTGAAAAAATTAATTTCAGCATATAAAACTGTATCAAGAATTATAAACACATGCTGCTTTTAAATATATGGTGATTTTGCTGTTGAATTTTATGTGGCATGTGAAGTATGGTATTTAACAAAAACAAAAAAACAAAAGAGGTTGTTTAGGTCTTATAGTTAGAAAACTGAACATTGATATAATGAACTAAAAAAATGAAAACAAGTAGAAAAGTAAATGGCACTCCGTTGGGAATTAGAATAATATACTGCTTTTAAAAATTTTTGTTATCTTTGTTGCTTGTTTATGTCTTATTTACCAAATCAGCTTCATTATTTATAACTTTAGCCACTTTTTGCACAGTTGGAATTTCATTCCGGGAAAAGAAACAGTGAACTTTCTTTCGTATTGTTGCTAAAGTTAACTTATCATATTGTTTGATTCGGGTTTGCTTACTGACTTTCAGAGGTTGTTTCTTACCTGGAGTTGAAAATCCTCCATTTTCTTTCAATTTGGATTTCATGCGATTTATGCTTGTTACAGAAACACCAGTCAAATCAGCAGTAAAAGTAACAATATCGTTATCGGATTTATTAGGAAAATGCACCCGTAATTTGACAAAAACATTCATAACGATAATCTTACGGAACTGCGCAGTGGTTTTCCACCTTTATGAGGTTGAAAATTATGCACATATGCCAAAGATGATGCAGATGCCATGACAATTGCTTTTTTTCTCCTCTCGGTCAGTGAATGAATGAATGCTTTCTTTAATTATTGAGAGTGGGGTGAAGTTGGCATTGCTGAAATTTGTAGTTTCGCCTATAGTGCCCAAGAAAGGGGATGTCATCCTGCTAGTCATCGAATGATTGACACAATTTAGCAAATTTTTAATTTAAAGCTGGACACAACATAATCTATTGTTTCACTCATTTTTCCCCCTTAATTATCTTTGTTCAGCAGTATTCATATTTCACAGCATACTTTTTACAATATTACTTCTCGAAACGGTAAAACTATTTTCTTCGGCACTTTCTACTATATCCAGTGTTCTCAACTTACTAGTCTGTAATAGTCATCTCAAAATAAATTCATTGTTTTAATGGCAGTTTTTGTAAAATCAGTGTTATTTCTTTCAGTACATGATTTTTGACACTATATAATTTGTATGGACTAGCTTATATATTAAGGAGTTTTTCTTATACTGGATATTTAGAAAGCTTATTTATGCTGTATGCTTAGAAAACGTTTCCCTTGGTTTTCTTGCATATTTCACAGATATATAAACTAGATTTTTACTGATGCTTTGCTTTTGCTATTTTCTGTAATGGGGTAAAGTTGATGTACTTCTCTCTTGTTGGTAAAAATTATTGTTATAAAAATTTAAGTTTTTCTTTAAAAAGAGTTCTTTCCTATAGCTATTAATTTAATTATTGTTTCTTCTAGTGGAGGAATGAGATTAAAAGTTTGGAGAGCTCTTGTGAACCATCGACAAAAAAGCAACATTCTTTCAGGAGAAAGTTAATGAATCATTTCATGATGCAAAAAAAAAAAAAAAAATTGTATTTCATTGTTCTGCTCTGTGGCAGCCATATTTGTCATTTGTAGTTTTTAACTGTTTGTTTTTGTGTAACAAATTGAAATTTTAATAAATATACACGATATTTTTTGTTTTTCTTTAAATATTTTTGCATCGTCATTTAAAATTTCAATTCTCTTTTTTTCTTCGGATCTATGTACATATTGTGAATACTTTTACTTACAGAAGTACATTAATTCACGGCAATTTTCAAAAGCATTTTTAATTTTGAAAATAGAGTACTCTTTGCTGTGGGAACAAAATAAGAATCTATTTTTGATGCAACAGTAAAATTTATTTATAAAGGCCTAATTTTATAATCTTTGCAAACCAACATTAACACCTTGTTCTGTACTTTTTGTAAAACACTGTAGCTAAAACTTGTTATTTTGTGAAAAGAGTTTTATGTTCTTGTATAAAAAAAAAAAAAAATCAAGCAGCATTTGCCTTCCTGTTTCGTCTACTATCATTAAAATAAAAACTTATGCCTATCATCTGTTTGAAAATGCTAGAGGCAATATGCAGTTCATTTGATGCATTTCCTATGGAATTCCTGGTTGTCTTAGAAACATTTTACATCAGGTTTTCTTGTAAATATGAAAATTTTAATTGATTTAAAGGCCTCTATCGTATGAATAATCACATAATTTTGGTATTTTGAATAATTACTATATTGTGAAACTAGGTGTGAATATGGATTATAAATTTTATTATCACTTCAAACAAACATTTGAGTTTTTCTATTTAAAACGCAAATCTTTATTGAGGTGATAATATAAGGTGTTATTTTCTATTTAAATAGAACTGAGATATTTTTACAAAGTATTTGTTAGTAAAGTTAATTACTTTTTGTCATGTGCACACTAATTTTATATGATATTAATTTAATGCATAAATGGATGTTTATGGAAATACAAAAATTTTTTAAAGAAAAATTTTTGTGTGCTATTATTTTACATCATTTGTTGCTGAAATCTTAAATTATCTTGAAATGAATCCAAAACATTTACTGAAATATTGTAAAATGTGTAGTCATGTCTTCTTAAAAAGTCTGAAAACAGAATACTATCAAATATATTACATATGATATGCCTACTTTGCTGAATAATCATTTAATTTGCATACGAAACATCTTATTGATCAAGATAAGATGCAGAAATGAGAATTATGCAGCAATTCTCAGAATCATAACAGACTAAGTGTTTGTATAGAGCTGAGTATGAACTACACTATCTTCATTTGAAAATTTCCAGTTCCACACAAAAAATAAATTAATTTAAAAAATAAAGTTAAAAAATTTTCTTGTAAAATACAAATGAGTTGTCCCAAACCCATAAGATTCACTACTTTTTTTTTTTTTTTCTATAAACAGTGAAATTTCAAAATTTGCATCAGTCTTGAGTAGAGCTTTGTCTGACAATGCAGTTAAAAAATTTGAATGGATTCAAGGAATGCTCTTATGTTTTTTGGTGTAATGGAACATCATATGGTGTCTTAAGATTTACATACTGTATCCTCAGTCTCCTAAGTGAGATGTAACTGTTTCACATAGACTTTGTTTCGAGTGGAGTTGAACATAAAAGAAAAGCAATGTGAAGATGTTTTCCTTTTAGGTATGGAATGGGGATCCTAACATCCTAAATATGGAATATTTTAAGAGTTAGTAATTTTTTTGTTATGACTTGTAGAAATTCTGGGAAAAGTACATGAAGGTTTTCATTGAAGATATCCATGTAGTTCGTTATATTCGATTTTCATACCTCTGGAAGTTCACTACAGCAGTATAAAATAACATTATAGGAAACTGGATTCATTATATCCAGGGGTTAGTTATATCGGGGTTTGACTGCATGATCGTTTTTTAAAAGAATAAGCTTATTTCGTATAAGCAGAAAATATGAAATATACTAACATAGCAAATTCTAATCTCAGGGAGCGAAGTGCTTGAAATGCACAACTTCTTCGTGAAATCGATTTTCTAATACATTTTTTCCTTCGGATAACAAAGAAGACTTTAGATTCATACTTAACTTACTCTTTAGATTCAGAAATTTATGGAAATTAGTTCCAGATTTTTTAACCTTTTAAAGTACATTGAGGCAAAAAACAATCAATTCCCCCCTTTCTTTCTTCTCTCTCTCCCCCCCACCCCACCCAAAGGGGCTTTGTCCCTGAAGGACTATTGTTTTCGTTTTGCATCTGAATCCTATAAATGCCGTAGCACTTTTCAAATCGTTGCCACCAATTACTATCGCCCTGTATTGTATTCGAAGAAATTACATAATGAAGAATCTTAATGAAAATCTGCATAAATGTATGTATGCTGCTATTGAACTGAATTTTATGTTTTAAGTGCAAAGAACATGATATTTAATAAATAAAGGTAACACACAAAACGTTAAAAAAAGCCCCTTTGGACGTTATTTAAAATTGGAAACCTTTCAGATTTTCTTTTCTTTTGGGTGTGTGTTATACACCATTTCCGAAATATTCACTTTTATATTATCCGACAACAGGCTGTCAGTAGTTGTATCAACAGTTCCTGGATAATTTCCAAAAAAGTAAGCCGACTGCGATGCTCATCTCCCCAGCGCAGTGACTTTGCTACTAGAGGACAAGCAATTCTCTACAATTGCAATTTGACTAAGCAATTAAGATTTGTTGATGGCATTAGAAGAAAACTGTAAAATCACATTTATGGAAATTTAAGAATGATCCACCCAAATTAGCAACAATTTTTTCATTAATATGGTGTGCAGTCACCTCTGACTGGAATGCAAACGTTACCTTTTGGCTTCATAAAATTTACCAAACTAATGATTGTGGAAGTGCACGCGACTTCTTTTGACTACGCTTTCCAAATCCTCAAGTGTCCGAGGAAGCATCTGCGTGCTACAATGCGGCGGTCAAGGCATCCCACACATGCTGAATAGGCTGGGTAATCCATTTGAGTGATAACTTCCCTTTGAAAGAGTAACACCAAAAATGCTTGTTCTGCACGAGCGCTGTCATACATTAGCAAAGTAATATGACCCAACATCGCCCCTAAACAATCTCACATGGACTTCCAAGACCTCATCCACATATCTGACTGGTTACAGAGTCTCCGTCAAAGATATTCAGCTCGGTCTGCCATTTTTTATGATTCCACTTAAACTATGAAAACAGATCTTTCATAAACAAAGGACGGGTTGTATGTTCCTCGCCCCTTTCAGATCAAAACACGTTTAGAATTGCAGTTCAGGCTATATCTGGACTCGCCTCAAATAGTACATGATCCTATTTTTCATGGCTCCATTGAGCAAGATGACACCAATGTAAATGTGACACTTGAGCAGCGTACATTGGTGTGAAGCAAGGCTAACCTTAAAATTACTAGTGTTTCATATTTTTAGGGGCTGAGACACAGAATGGGTATTGGTTGTTCAGAACAGACAGTAACCACCGGTAGGTGAACCACCCGTCTGGAACTGAGATCCATCTACATCCTTTTAAACCGCAACAACTTTAATCTACGCCATTGGAGCTAGAATTACCGCGACTGCTGGCACCAGACTTGCCTTCCAATTGATCCTCGTTGACAGTACTAAACATTTTCCGAAGAAAAAAAGAACTGGAGATAGTGTGAGATAGAAAACTGACACTAATAATCAATAATGATACATAAAATATGATACATTTTAAAAAGGACTTATTTGAACGAAATCAATTTAATGGATTTGAGGGAAATTTTAAAAAGCAAATTTTTGTGGATAGGTTAAATCGCATGTTAGAAAATATGTAATGAAATAAACGAAAAAAAATCATAAATTAATCATAAAATAAATTATTATTGTAATATTTTGATAGCCAAATTTGTAAATTTGTGTTAGTAATGCCCTTGCATAAATGCCTGCTGAGGTTTTTAGTGGGTACTTGATGAGACATTATAACCTGCAATTTATCTTCCTAACATATCTCGTACATGCGTTATTGGATTTATGGATAGTGAATCTTAGAGGCTACTGCATATATTGAATTCTTTCATTCTCCAGGTATATTTGAACCAAAAGGAAGATTGCGGTCAATTGTCATCCCTAGCACTCATTGCAGCATTAAATAGACAAAAATAGGGTGAAACATTTCGTCATGGTATCGAACACCTGCAATTGAACCACTGACACAAACTTGAAAAATAAGTGCTTGATTCCACTGATCTTGTTTCCACCTTCAGTGTTTATGGGATTCATTCGACCGGGTTATACTGACTTAGGATGGTGGTAAAGAGATACACATGCTGACCATCTTGGAAACAGCTCACGCTAATGAAGCCCAAGTAAAGTAGTTTATTGAAAGATGGAAGTTTTTACCAGTAGAAATACGCGAGGCCAACTTTCAGACTAATAAAATTCTAAAGCATCTTGAACTTTGTCTCAGAAAGCGATCAACTTCGGCTGAAACAATCTTACGGCATGGCGTCTAGTTCCTTATCTTCTAGAGACAGTTTGATTCACTTTGCCAATGATTCCAAAGTCGGTTTATGACCGTGTGATGAAATACAGGCTTTCTCACAGGCTCTCTGTATTAAGCTCTCTCATATCACCAGATTTTGGTTCACCAACTTTTAACATTTCTGCAGCCATTCAACACATTTCTCCTTTTGAATAATTTCTTTTTAACTCATGAGAAATAGTATCTCATGATGAAGTTTCATTGACAGTAATTTCTATTCCTAGAGTGCCAAGTAGTTATCTTATCTGTAAAATAAATTTCATTAAAAAACATGCCATCTTACTTGAAAATGGAGCAAATTTGCCTTACTTTGATGTTTTTTTAAGTGAAGAGCGAGAACGTCGCATATTCCTGTCCCTGACAGGATAAACATAAAATGCTCGGTATGATCCGAAAGCATGAACTAAACACAGGAGCACACACGTGACTATCCATAAAAATGTCGAGAAGTGCCGCATAACATGAGATACACGTGGCCTGCTACGAGCAGTCAAATGTACTAATAAGTATGCAAGGTAACATTAAGTTATAACCTCTACAATATTTATGAAATAAACTCGGAAAGCCTTCATTATATGTAGTGATTATAATTATTTGAGTCAGTGAAATTTAATATCTAATTCTAAATAATTTGCAGAAAGTTATGTACAAATTTTATGTAAATTGCTAGCTTTGTCGTATTCTAAAGGTTCAGTTAATTGATAGACAGCACTAGTTAAAAAATTTTATATACTTATAAAATGTTGATTTGATGCTGCAGTCAGAATCATCTAAAAACCTAGTTTTTCTATCTTTCAATTTATGCTATGCTACAATGTCGTTGTTCATTTGGATGAACTATTTGGGTTGTAAATCGCCAGTTCTTAGATCATTGTCCATTTTATGCCATATAAGGTATTTAATTTGTTTTTGAAATTGTTATAGCATATTTCTTTTAATAAACTGAAAGGTTTTTAAAAAATATTCTTTATTTTCTATAGAATTTACCAATTTCACTAATTTAGTTCAGTTTTTATTATTTCTTAATTAGCTTTTAGTTACTAAATTAATAAGTAATGAAGTATTTTGAAAATATAATATTTTATAGATAAGCCTCCATTAAATTGCTGATGAATTGAAACAGTCTTCAATCAATTGAAACAGAGCAGTAAATTGAAACAGAAACTGAAACCTAAAATATGTTTTTCAATAATAAAACAGTGTATGATGATTTAACAAAGTGCGCATTAAATAAGCATGAAAATATACATAAAATTTTGTTTATTTAGCAATTATCACAGAAAAAATTGTGTAGACATGGAATTACGATATGAAAATGAATCACAATATTTACAAAATCACTTCGAAGATGAATTGGACTAGCGATGTAGGCGGAATGAGATTTGGATCAAGACACTAGTTGTTCTCTGTTGTCATAAATGGGTGACCTAGAAATATAAATAATTATAATTTTACTCGTTCAAAGACATTAAAAAAATGACATTTTAGGAAACGTATACTAACCTGGTAGTATGGCAAAGTTCAGAGTGATGAAAAGTATCCAACTGAAACTCCAGTTCTGGTGTGGTCACTGAAATCAGTTATATATTATTAAAAAATATGTCTTTAAAATACTTTGTCTGTTAACAAAAATTTGAATTTTTCAAACTAATAATAATACACTTTTCTTTTTTCATGGGCTCACTTAAATATACCTTCTTGATGCGCAGAGTTAATGCGACACTCAATAAGAAGAGATGAACACGTTAGTCTCTTCTGTTAATTCATCCAGAGATGAGTTACTCACCTCAAAGGACAACTTTGAAGACAAAACTACAGTGCCTAGTTTAGTAATGGTAATTATAAGCTAACACAAAATTTTAACTGCAACTCTTCCCCCTTCTGTCAAAAAATTCGGCTTCTTGTGCATCCTTCTCGGAAACTAGCCTGAACATAGGATAGTAAATCGTACGTGCATTTCAAACTAATGTGGTTATCAGGGCATTTTATCAGTAATATCATTTTTGATTAACCATACATGATATTTAAATCTGCATTTAGCTTAGAATAAGACTGCCATGAAACATAACTGTAGCTGTATAGTAAAGTCAGCAAATGCATAGTTACAAAACTGTCATGTAGCGTTCTTTTATATATGCTTATTCTATGTAATACAATTTAACCTCTCGTTAACCCGAATGCTCGCGGGACCAACGATTTTGTCCGTTATCAGGTAGTGTGCGTTAAGTGGAAATGCATTGGTTCTTTACTTATGCACTGGCCCCAAGGATTCAAGAACTACCCTTTACTATGGAGTGATCGTTAACGAAGGTTCGATTGTATTATGTTTATCTAAATAGATTGTTCTTCGAGAATATATATTCGTATAAAACATAAATGTACAAGATATCTCAGTTCCAGGGTTATAAACTTATAACAGGAATAGAATTCACCTAGACGACTCGAAATCGCATAACAGTGCAAGGTCGGAAATATATTACTACGCGATAGTGTAGGTCTTTACCGATGGGTAACAGGTATTATCCAAATTTAGTATTAATTATATTTATTTTAATTTTAAATAATAATAACCGAAATAATTACATTTTTCATATGTATAATTTTAAAGTATAAATTTTGAAACATATTTACAAGAAAGAGGAATAAAAATTTTTAATGAAAAACATTTGCATACTGGTTCATGAAGTTCGATTAAGCGTTCAATAAAATCGATCATACAAATAATCATAAAGTCTTAATTAAGCCTTTACACCTTATGTTCATAAAATAAATTTATTGTGTGTAAGCTTATAAATAAAAAAATGAAATTTTAATGTATATAATGTTACTACTATATTCATATTTTTAAGTGAGATAGCAAGCATCTTTTCCCAGTGCAGCAAGTAGATTTGTAGTGGCCCCAGTTATTATATGAGTAATAATTATTTTTAATTCGAAGTACACTGCCCTCCACAAGTTAAGGAACAACAAGTTTTTCAAAGTTCACCATTACAGAATTGTCAGTAACATTTAAATTCACGGTTCATATGCATGGCAGTAACAAACTTAAGAAAATATATGCAAAAACAATGGCTACCACTTTTATTTTATAGAAATGAATATTTATATAGGAGCTGGAGAAAAAATGAAAAACTTGTAATTTTTGTTCATGAATATTGACGGTTGTTATTACGGTTTCGTGGACAATATCCAGGACAGTCTATCAGTGTCCAGGAGAAGACGTTTGCTCGATCCGTTGAGGTCGCGGGCGATTGGATGGGTGGAAATGGGGATGTCATAAGGTGATACTGGTAGGCGTCTCAATGTCTCTCGTAGTGTGGTCCACCGACTATGGAATCAGTTTGAATCCGACGATTCTCTGTCTAGAAGGCATGTTCCAGGCAGACTTAGAGTTACAACACCTGTGGGAGACCGTTATTTAGCTCTTCCGGCCCGAAGGAGGAGTAACGTTACTGTGCCTGAGCTCATGGCAGATAATTTAGTGGCAACAGGAACAAAATCTCAGCTACTACAGTGCGCAGACGCCTGTACAATACAGGTCTTTATGCAAGACGACCAGTTGTTTGTGTTCCCTTGACCCGAGGACACAGAAGTGGCCGTTTATGTTGGGCAAAAAAAACATGTCCGCTGGACCAGTCAACAATGGGCGTCTGTTCTCTTTACAGAGGACACTGGAGACTTCACACTGAAGAGTGATTCAGGTCGTCAGCTGATCTGGAGGGAACAACGCACCAGATACAACCCACATTGTGGAAAGACACAGTTACACAGGTGGTGGAACAATGGTTTGGGCTGGGTCTCTATTGGTGATCATACTGACCTGCATGTATTCCAGGGAGGAACTTTGACCGGTGTGAGACATCAAGACGAGATCCTTGATCAATATGTCCGCCCATATGCCACTAATATTGGTCCTAGATTTCTTCTGACAGAAGACAATGCGCGACTGCACTGAGCTCAGGTTGCTGAAAAATATCTTGAGGGTCACGGTATAGAGCAGATGGAATGGACAGTTCAATCCCCAGACCTGAATCCGATAGAGCACCTTTGAGACTAACTTGGGAGACAGACTGGTGCTTTAAGTCCTTGTCCAAGGTCGGTAGATGAACTTGAACAAGGATTACTCAGTGTCTGGTAGTTGCTTCCCATTTCACATTTTTTGTTGTAATTCATGTCTGTGTTGAACTTTAGAAACATTCTATGTTGCATTCATTAAAAAACTGTTTAATGAGCATGTCTCGTAAATTTCCTGTTTCTATGTTGCTCCATTCTCAAATTAGACACAAAAAACATGCTGTTCCTTAACTTTTGGAGAGCAGTGTATTTTATATTTTTGCATGTGTTTATTTAGTTCATAAAATTAACTTCAACATTTTGTTAATATTTATATTTCTTTTATGCTAAATGGCAACAAGTAATTATTCATGATTACTTTGTTTTTCGAATGATGTCATTCTAGTAGCCGCTCATTTTGATAGCTTAAAAATAAAGCAGTAACTTTAACTATTTGTAATTTTTCCTGTTCCTAATTATAATTTAGTTTGCACATCAGTAGCCGAGGCTACATCTTGTCACCAGCAGATTCATAAGTTTACAAATTTTAAGAAGATGTCTTCGCTTAATAAGGAATCTTTTGAAAGAAATGGTATTAGCAGTTGGAAATTTAATATGGTGGTGTTTCGTTAAGGGACCATTCTGTTATATAATCATTTAGTGTCCTCGCAGACGCAATGATCAGTATTGGTAAATCATTTTTTTTTATTAAAACCTTGAGAAGGGACCATGTCTTGTTATGTATCTTGTGAAATCGAAATTTCATGATTTAGGTCAATTGTTGGAGATAGTTAAATGAGTGTCTGCACTGTTCACAAAAATTGCATTCCTCTTGCCGTTTTTTTAGAGAGATTGCAGAGAGAGATTTTGTAAGGTATAATCTAGGCCAAGGAATGAGCCTAGATCCTTCGGTAAGGTACTTCTCCCGCCTTCTTAGCGTGCCTTCGTGGTGTAGTGGAATGCATGCTGGGCGCGTAATTCCAGAGGTCCGTGGTTCAATTCCCGGCGAAGGCGTCGCTCATTTTTCATTACTCTTGCTTCCAAAATACCTAATGTCTCTACAGTGGCGCCTGAACTAAAAGGGTGGTGGATGATGATTCTTCACAGCCAGGATTTGGCGATTGGCTCGCTTAAAAACCTCAGTCGCCCTTTAAAAGGGGGGAGTATAAAAGGTATTTCTCCCGCCTTCTTAGCATGCCTTCGTAGTGTAGTGGTCAGCACGCTGCGCGTATTCCAGAGGTCCGTGGTTCGATTCCTGGCGATGGCGTTGCTCATTTCTCACTACTCCTTAGCTACGCCTTCTGGCTCTGAAAGTCATGTTATCTGATTTCACGAACTCCGAAATTTACATTGGTTCGAAGGTACAGCAGTAAAATTTTAGTTTTCGCTTATTCTTTAAATATGAAATCATCATCGTGTTATTCTTTCTCATATATAGTGGTTTATTATTAGTTCCATCAATCGATCATAAGTAAAATGTGGACGTGGATAAATCCAAGAACTGCACTCTCCCTCATGTAGAAATGCTCAGCAAGTGCTCAACACAGGAAAATCCCAGAAACAAAACTCGCAAGTCAAATCTAGAGCTACTAAAAAAACACGCTCAAAATAATTCTGAAGCATCTCTGCTATATTTGCAAATTTCATTGAGTTAATTAGAGAAATAAAGAAAATCTTCTATTATGAATACAATCACTGGAAGGATGTATAAAACAAGAAGTGCACCCACTTCAATTCGTAAGCTATTTTGTTGTTTTTAACATTTTCTAGGACATTTTCCACGCCACCATTCTTTGTAAAAGCATAAATTAATTCACATGTACAGCTTTTCCTTAACATTTAATTTTGCCCTCATTTTCGAACTTATTTTTATGTAGTATTTGGTATCTTATACTTTGTGTTCTCGGCTGATGGCGTATTTTGTATGTTGCCCTATACTGATTAGCACTTCATTTTAATTAGTCCCCTTTTATGCCCTACGCAGTGTTTTTCCCCAGCTCGAACTCATCTCACCTGCCCCACAGTCTTGTATCACTAGCAACGAAGGAGATCTTAGTGATGTTGACATAATTTTACTTTAATGTTTTCCATCATCTTGAACTTTAAAAGAAACACCTCTTATTTGACGAATAATTTTACTGGGATATATTCTTCGATGGAGGTAGGTTTTCTCTAAACCAGGTACTCCGGTGTCGCACCACTTTTACCATGTCCAAAAGGGTCAGTAATCATCTCGTAAATGAGAACTGACGTCGTTGTGATGCATGTATTGCAATTGTCGGTCGTTCATTTGAACGATTCTGATAAGTATCAAACATTGTTTCTTGTAAACAATCCATAATTAAAATGACTATTCGTTCTCTGTGTTCTTCGTACTTAACGTGTCTCCGCGTTTACATTTCCTACTCCACCCTGAAACAAATGATGAAGTTTATAAGAGACCCTCCACAAAGAGTAATACAAATGTTACATTCCGTGACCCCAAAAGGCTTCAGATTCTTTTGGTTTCCTTAGATA